GCCTTGCAGTGGAATTGCTGGCGTCGGTCAGGTGGCACAGTCGAAACTGCAGGGGATCCAGGTTTGGAGGTACTAGAGAGTTACTAGAACTGTTCGGAAGCATGACTGAATGCCGAAAGCACAAAGCAGGGTCGAGAGCAGCAGCTGCAGCCAGGTTCTGGAATGCTGTCACTTTTCCCAGCGCGTCTGTGATGTTGAGAGCTGGTATCGACGAGTCTCATGTGCCTCGGCATTTGAATCGAGACCGGCCGACCGGTTTTCCGAGCGGCTAACAGTGGTGGCAATGTCAGGGGCAGCAGAAGTGGCATCAATGGTTAGATCATCCGGCCCTTAACGCTTGCAATCCTTGTTGTACTTTGAGATCTCTCAGGCATACCAATGCTGCTCTACTTCCTCCTCACTTCTGAACTCATTCACAGCAGCTCAGCTGTGAACATGCTACCTTCAAGAACATGCCTAAGGTATGCACGCGCGGTGCAGAGAATGGGGCGGTGCTGGCGTCTGAAACAGCAAACCACAAGGAGATATAGGCAGCAGGCTCTAGCTGTGCGTCATACAAGGTTTTTTGAGCCATAAAGACAACCGAAGAACAGACGAATGCAAAGACCTTCCAGGTTTGGGGATGGTGTGCAAGCGACCCGAGTGATGGACAAGACCAGGTTGCGTGCATTCCATGGAGGTGGGACACCTTGAACAGGGCATGGAACAGGGCAGGGACAGCGGAGAGCAGAAACTGCTAACAGGAATGAACAGGAGAACGATTGGTGCCACTGGGATTTAGCGTTGCCTGCTCATTACCGCCGGCTGGTGAGACAATTGCTCCATGGACTGCTCTCCGTGCCGTGCTGCGGTTGACAGCGGTGCTAGACTTGAGCTCCAAAAAGCCAGTCAATTCTGTGTTTGGAAAGCAGAGCCCGGAAGGCTAAAACCTGAACGCACCGAAGACCAGCCAAAGTTGGCGAGCTATGGTGAACTGAAAGGAACGCATTAACAACAAAAAGAAAGCTACAGCTTGTCTCGACATTCAGCAAGATCAATTTGGTCCACTCTACCTAGGTTTTGGCACCGAAGCAATTTCAGAATAAGCTGGATGTAGTTCCTAAAGGCGAATCTACATTAGCGCAGAAGGAACAGAACACGGTAGTTGGGTGTGGCGGTTTAGACTTTGCTGGAGGAGCACGCACTTCCTTTCGCAAACACCGAAACGATTGCTTTTTGCCTGTGGGTCGAAGGTCAGATGCGCATGCGAGAGTTTCCAAGATACACTGCGGCCGAGGCAACATCCATCTCTCCTGCTTTGTGCTGCTCGTGGCCAGCTTGTGGTGGGACATGTTCGTGTACTGCTGCATTCTTGCCTTCCTGACGGCTTCCTTTGCATCCGCCATGGCCTGTCTGCCCCAGACCGGGAGCAGCTTCGGGGTGCAGTTTCGTGATTTCCGGAGCCTTCCTTCCGCCTTCCAGTCCCTGCTCGCAGTGGCCGTGAAGACATACAGTGCCAATAGCTTCGAAGAGATTGCTGCGGCCTCTGAGCCTCTCTTGGCCTGGTTCCTCCTGGCCTTCGCCGGCTTTTGGCACGTCTTCCTCATGAACCTGATGGCCCTGGCCTCGGTTTGGCTCCGGCTCTTCTGAGAGGCCAAAGGGCTCCTTCGCATTCTTGCGGTTGCTGCTCTGCCTTCGCTTCTGAGGTGGCGCAGCTTTGCCAGCGCTTCGGAGCCAGCTTCAAGGATGCCTTAGGCTATGCCCGGCTGAAGCGAGGAAGCAACATCTTCGACACGGCCTCTTGGCTGAAGGGCCTGCAAACTTCACAACTGCTGCGATGTTCCAGAAAGACCCCCAAAAAGTCACACTCAGCCTGTAAGTCGCTTCTCGCATCTTGGCAGCTGACCTCGACACGCAATTTCACTACAAATCTCCATGGTGACAGGCCCTGTCCCTCATCTCGGAAAGCAGATGGCAACGGTTCATCCGCAGCCTGAACCTGGACTGCGCCCTGCGAGTGGCAGACTGCGTTGTAAACAGGGGATAAGTTCGAGGGCAGATCTCTCAGATGACGCCCGGCCCAGCCCTTGCATGGACCGATGGCCAACACCTGCGAGGACGCGCCCTGTCCTCTGGACGCATCTGACCCAGGGCCCCGGGGAGGTATACCTACGACCCTCGGCACAGAAGTCTGTTGATTGTTGTCTGTTGAAACGACCGCAAAATATTGTTGTGCATGCCGGCGATGTCCTTGCAAGCTCTCACTGCGAACACATTAGCTTCCGATCTTCTCGAACTATATTAATATAATGCTTCTATAACGCATACCGAGTCTCACTACCTACGCCAGCTTTCTGCCTGACCGCATGGGCGTTTGATGTATTGATGTTGTCTTGAGTCTTGAGCGCCAGCGCAAGTTGTCTCGAAGACAGGCTCGAAGAATTTGATGGTTCCAGCGGGCTACCGGTGCAGCTCTACGGAGGTGCACTGCCTCATTCAGCTCAGAGTTGGTGCGACTGATAGCCTTTCTAGTGCTTTCTTCGTCTTTCAGCTTGGACTCCTCTTGACAGCTTTGCTCTGTTCAAGACCTTGCAGACCAGGACTGCCTTCGATTGCAGAGCTCGTTCTCTTACTTTGATTTTGGCACCCCTTTCTTCATGCCGCTTCGTCCCCCTTGGGGTCCCTGTCCTCCTTTCGGCACGCTTTCTCCGTGAGGCCTTGCTTCCCCGAAGGAGCCCTGGCCAGAGCTGCGCGACAGCGAGGCGCCTGCACTTGACAGGGGGGCGCTTTGGTACCATGCTCTCTCTCGGATTCTAAGATTCCCTGGATACTGTAACAATACTCTAATAAATGTATCATCATACTACATCCGGCTCTCTCTCTCGCTCGCGCTCTCTCTCTCTCTCTCTCTTTCTCTCTCTCTCTCTCTCTCTCTCTCTCTCTCTCTGTGTCTCTCCGTTCTGGCATGCACTCACACAGCGGAGGGCTGTAGCCAGCCGTTGCTTGACATCCTTTGAAGTTGGGCATCGTCGGTAGATCACCTTTGCCAATTGCGACACTGGCCAGGAATCAGAACTCGACAAGTTCGAAAAGACGGCTTCAAAACGCTTCTCGTGCTGTCCGAGAAAGGTTCTGGCTCTCTTTAGAGTCTTTAGAGGGCTGAGTTGACTTTGTAGAGCCCAAGCGGTGTGAGATGCACGGAGCGAGAGCGCAACCGGACGTTGGCATTGGCTTTGCAGGGGTTTTGATGCTGGAGTTGTAGAGCAGCGTTGACACAATCATCGCTTCGAGCTGAAAGCATCTGAAAGCATGACTGGATCAGTTTTGATCAGCCAAACGCGGATTTTGGACTTCCGAATTGTGTCTCTTCCAATGGATGTTGCATGCGTTCCCTGCTTGAAATCCTACAACCACTAGCTCGGCAACATCGAGACTGCTCATCACTGCCGTCATGCGATGCGCTCTGCGCGGATTTTCCTGCCTAGGCATGTGCATTTCGCGGTCTCATATTCTGGATGATTTCACCTCGCTCCAGGTTTCGATGACCTGGAGCGACTGCTGGCCGACATTGCTGTGGCTCGTCAAATCACAGGTAAATTGCACGGAAGAAGACGAGCCATGTGATTCTTTACTCTCCGCTCGTGAAATGAGCCGATATGGCCAGTGCTTCGTGAGGAACCAGACGAAACTTTTCTCCGTGGCTCAGGAGTTTTTCACAGCAAAACCTCGTGCATGCGATGTGTGCCAGTCGGAAACACCTAAGACCATGCTGGGCTGAGGCATAGTTCCTGCACTTCCTGACATACATCCCTCATTCCCTAAACCCTAAAGGCCCTAAACCCTAAACCCTAAAGGCCCTAACCCCTAAACCCTAAACCCCAAACCCTAAAGGCCCTTTAGGGCCCTAAAGGCCCTAAAGCTCTGCAAAGGACAAGCTCGGCGGCCGCAGAGCTGGTCTGCGCCAGTCCCTGCGCTCCTCGCCACGGAGCTCCGTCGCGAGCAACGTGGAGGATCCAAAGAGATCAACGGTTTAGGGCTTAGGGCTTAGGGTTTTTAGGGCTTAGGGCTTAGGGTTTTTAGGCTTTTTAGGGATTTTAGTGTTTAGGGTTTAGGGTTCAGGGATGCTTAGGGCTCAGTGTTCAGGAAGTTCAGGGTTTGGGTAGCTTTTCGCACCTGGCTTTTTGTTGGAGAATCCTCAAGGAGTGCCAGGGTTTGACGTTGCAGTTTGCCCTGAAGGACTGGTCGCCCCGGAAGCGAGCTTCTGTGCGCCAGGGACTTAAGTGCTCCCTGAAGTGGCAGATCTTCCACCCGGAGCAGAGGTCAGCGCACCGAGTAGCCGATTACCGCTTTTTTTCCAATCTCTGAAGGTCAGTCAGAGGTGCTTGCGGACTCTGAATTGGAGGAAGCGGAGCTTCAATAGAGCTTTGCACGTCTCTGTTCGTTGCAGCAGAAGTATGTGGTCTGCACAGGGAGGGGCAATGACAGGGTGACGAATTCGGTTCTGCATGCAATTCATTTGCGGCACGCGAATTCACCAGGCTCCATCTTGGATTGGTACCCCTGCATCTTATGGCACATAGTGCTAGTTTCGGTTCGACTCCCCTTATGCTGGCAATTTTTTCGGATCAAGCTCAATTGTGTACAGGGTCAGCCTACACGAAAGTAGCTATACGGAGCTAACACGGAGCATCACCACCTTGTTGAGAGAATGAATGCCACAAGCAGGGCCCGTCCAGGCGCCATTGGGACCATCATTTTGCCGGCTTGAAATACCTTCGCCGCGCCGCCTGCTTGAAGTTTTAACAAAAGATCTGTCCAGATGCCAAAGGAGGCTTCGTTTGCACGGCCATGGCCACATTTCGAAGCCCGGGTTCGGAGGACAATCATGCAAATGGCCCGACTTCGGGCTCTTGCCAGGCCTTTGAAATTCAATACGGCTGCGGCTACTTGTAGCATATGTCGGATACGACGAAATGCAGAAAAGCGCCAGCAGCTCATGCTAGTCGTTCCAGGTTCCATGCATGTCAGCCTGTGCTGCTGTGCATGACATGCTGCATGTAAAGCTTCAGCGTACAGTCTCAACTTGCCGACCTGCTCCACCCGCTATGGAGGCCTGCAGGAAGAGAGAGAGACCTGAAGAGGGGGTGGTTTGGACAAGTCTCCGAATGATCCACGTGTAATTCAGATTGGTCCTCATATCCTATGACCGTAACCCCTTTGACCCCGCGTCCCAAGGCTCGAGTTGGCACCTCCATGCTCTACCCATCGAGCCCGCTGTCTCCAAAAAAAACTAGTGACAATGAACATGTCGCCTTTTCGCTGTTCCTGTTGTTGTGGTTGTTGTCGTTTGTTGCGGTCGTTGTGAATGTGGATGTGATGGTGGTGGCTGTTGTTGTTGCTGCTGTTGTTGTTGCTGCTGCTGTTGTTGCTGCTGCTGCTGCTGCTGTTGCTGCTTCTGCTGCTGCCCCTGCCAGCCATAGCGGTAGCGGGTAGCAGTGGTGGCAGTGGCGGCGGCCGTGGTGATGGTGGGAGCAGTCGTACTTATCTCACAGTCGTATTGATGGGTTACTGGCAATGGCGGTAGTGGTAGTGGCCCAATGGTGGAGGAGAGTAAAACAGAAGGGAGATCATTCTCATAGCCGCTCATAGCCGACTTAAACGTTGTAAACCCAAGAGAACAGAACATGATGCGCGGCACACCTCGACCAAGCCTGAAGGCTTTCCTGGCTGCGCCAAGCACCCGCGCTGTGGGTCCCTCCACAGGCTGGGAAGGGTGAAGGGCTGAGCATTTGGAGTTGAGATTTAGGATCCCGGGTTTGTGAGAAAGCGTGTTTTTCGGTTTCATGCTTGATATCGCATTTCTGTGGTGTTAAACTCCTTTGCTCCGCTAAACAGCAGGTTGCTAACAGCAAGAGAATGAGCCACTCAACGCCAGAAGCTCTTCAATTTCCAATCTGGCTCCCTTTCGACATGAATGGCTCAGTCCTGAAACCTGAAATGCACATGCTGTTTGAGTTTCCCATCCGGAACAGCTCTGTGTTCACACCCCCAGAGAGAGTTCAACACTCACTCGGTGCAGTTCCACTTCACTCAGCGAATGTGGCGAAGCAGCCTCTACGAGAGAACTCGAATGCCGCGGCGGTGCCGACCCTAGTGTGGGAGAACCACTTGATTGTACAGTTGTATCCGACAGCCGGCTTGACAGAAGGCCACAACAGTCGAGCTCTCCGATGTTCCAAGTTGAGAGGTGCAGCACGGTTTTGGCACGCCATCGCACCTCAGGTCAACTGCACTCGGTCGCGAAGCAAGTAACCGGAAATGGAAATGGTTTTGGGGCTCAGGTCGTCGGCAGCTGGGCTGTCATTGGTGCCGCCGTCGCCTTCACGCGTCGCGGACGAGGTGTGTGTTTGGGGGGTTCCCAGTTTTGTGGCCAAGGTGGTTGTTGCAGGAGTACAAGTTTCCGAGCTCAAGCATGTCACAAGTGTTGGATCTGTCGCTAGACTTTTTGCAAGCATGTGCCGGCCGCGGTAGCCGCATTGCTACATGTTGGATTCTGGGGAGGCTTTAACTTCGGCACATTTTATGTCTCATTTTGAACATCTCCCCAATGGGGCCATGCGATTCCCCAAAAAAGCGCAGGGAGTCGGCGTTAGATCCAATCTGCGTAAGCCTTGTCGAGGGGAGCTAAATCGATAGGGATTGCTGGCTGTTGGAGAGCCCTGAACTGCAAGGGATGGCCCTGAAACCCTCACGGAATCATCACGTTCGGTTACTTTCGAGTGTTGTGTGGCTCGGAGGTCGATGCGCCCGTCAAGCAGAGGTCACAGAAGCGGAAGCCTTCGATGTGTGGAACCCTTCCACCTACGGCCGCTCGATTTTGCTCCTCTTAAGCCGGCCCTTCTCGTCCATAGTCCAGTGGCTCTGCATGTGGCACTGTGGCATCGCGTTGAGGCAACATCACCATGGATGATGTGAAGAAGTACGGAGCAGCAGGACGCTTCCTGAATTGCCATTGCAGAGGGTGACTGCAAGTGGAGAGATCCTAGATGCTCACCTGCCAGGGACCCTCTCCTACGTGATTACTGCCTCTTGGCACAGAGCGAGTATGGACTACCAAAGATTGTGGCGGTGTACTGCCCTGCAGAGTCCTTGTGGCATTACCTCATGGGCGAAGGAGCTGATCTTTTGGGCGGTCGCCTTCCCCACCGCCTCTGGGACGAAACGGAAGCCTTGGGTCAGAGACCCTAGGCCTTAGGTTGTCCCATCTGCCTCACGGCTCAAGCCGGGAGGCCCTGGCTGCTTCTCAAATGTGGTCACCCCTGTCCTCCTCTGCCTGCAGAAATTTGAAGCCGGATGCTGAGGAAGTCTTCATCTACCTTCAAACTGCTGGCCACTGGCCCGACTTCAGCAAGCCGGAGGAGAGTGCCGCCGCAGCTTGCCTTGTCTAGGTTTTCCCTCAGGCTTTTCTGTACAAGTCGTGATGTCCGGTGCATTGCCGGGTTCCTGCAGCCGGTCGGTTGTTTGCGCTGTCGCCACGCCCCGGATTTGGTCCCGATATCACTGTGATCCCCTAAAGGCCCTAGCACGGACAGCGGAAGCAGGTCTTTGGCATGGTCTTTGCCGCCTCCAACGTGGCCAGTCAGCATCTTCTGGGGCAAAGCCCGGCACACCAATTTGTGGTTGCTTTTAGCCATCTCTCCATGTGTCTGCCCCCCTGCCTGTCTGTCATCTGTACACTGTATACACACATATAGTGTATATGGTATATGTATATGTATGTATGTATGTATATATATATATTTATAAATCGAAAAAAACAGTATTTGAGGAAGGTCAACGCCTCGGCACGCCGCCGGCTCTGGACAGTCCCCGGCATCCCCCAAAGTCCAGAAATGTAAGCCAGTGGAGGCATCGAGTGTGCACGGCCCAATCCAGCATTATGCACTTCGCCATGTGCAAGTCCGACTTGTGTGCAACAGCTCGAAATACGCTCTTGCGCACAACGACAACGAACTAGGTGAACATAGGAATGAATATCAGTATAAACACACACACACACACACAC